TGAGGCTTTCCAAAAACTTTGACAGAAAAAAGGTGGTACTGACACAACGTTTAAATCCTTGGGATCTAAGTTCGTCTTTGGAATTACTTGATTATGCCCCATTTTTGAAAGTGATCTAGACTTTACTGTTTATTAGCAATGCTTCTTACAATGTCACCCACCACTGCAATATGTGAATCCAGTTTTACTTTACTGAAAAGATACAACAAAAACAATTTTGCTCACAATTCGTTACAAGCGAGAATGTACGTCAAAGACAGAGCTCTCAATAAAATGGAACTATTATAATTTTAGTAATTTTTATGTTTTGTTTAACAATAACAATAAACTGATGTTTTTAATAATTATTTTGAAATTTCCTAACATTATCTTGTTTATTTTTAAGTGGCTTTACAAAACTTCTGTTTCAAAAGCCATCTTTTTAAAAATGCCTTCTTGAAAAAAGTCGTTAAAAAAGACCAAAAACCCCTTCTTGGCCGAAAAACCGAAAAATGAACCAAAACTTAGTCAAAAATGATAAAAATGAGCACTCAATTACCTAAGATTTTTTTGAGGTTAAAAATAGCAACACGTTTTCAAATTAAAGTCAAACCTCTCAAAAGCGGGATAGTTTGGTAATTTTTGTTCTCTAAAGAACGGTCATTTTAGACAATCAGACCTTAATCATTACTCTTTAGAAAACTTGATTTTTGTTTCAGTCTAAAGTGCTTACTCTTGAGAGAACCCGCTCTTCCGAAGTGCCACTTTTATGAAATTTTACTGTATCTCAGAACCGCAAATTTGTTTTATTGAATAATAATACACTAAATACATGTAAAACAAATCTTTTCGCTTAAACAAGACGTATATTAATAATACGAAAATGAATTATAACAAACTCAATTTAATTTGATTTACGTTGCTGTTGACCAGATGAACAGCAAGTTGCTTTTTAAATTCAATAATGTCTTTTATATTGAAAATTTAGTTCATGTTATTAAAAATAGATTTTAAATAAAAAACAAAAAAAATAATTTATTAAAATTATTATAATATAATAAGATAAAAAAATAAAAATTAAATAAAACAGTTTAGTTAGTTATTTATTTAGTTATATAATTAATATTATAAAACAATTATTTACAAAAGTTTCTAATTCTCCAAACATAATTTTTTTATTTGCAAATTATAAAAATTTCTATAATTTTAGTTTATGTTATTATGATTATACAAAATAATTATTTTATTATATCTTCATTTTCTTAATTATTTTTATATAAATTCTATCAAATTTCATTTTGAAAACAAAGGCAAAAATCAAATTTGGTAAAAAAAATTATTTGAAAAATTATAATTCTTAGCTTTAGGCCATTTGAATGTTAAATTAAAATCATTTTATGTAAGTTTGAATATTTTTATTTTTTGTTTTTGATTAGAAAAAAAATCATTTCGTATGAGGTAATAATGTTTTTGAATGAGACTAAAAATTAATTATAAAAACAAATAAACTCTATTAACATACATGGAAAACGAGTTAACAACACTCTCAGCACTCTGCACTAACGCAGCAAAGGCGGTGTCAGACCTCAACAAAAATAAAAAAGAATACAACTTTGTTGACGACAAGTCACTTGACATTGATCAACGCATTGAAAATGCAGAAGGACACTTCGACAGACTCGATGAAGTATTTGATAGAAAGAAAAACATCACAACTTCGCTCAACACCATCGTCACTGATTTGGATAACGCATCAAATAAAATCAAAAGTGAGATAAGTCTATTTTCAATACAGAATGACAACAACAAGTTGTATGAGATATTCAATATCAAAATAGCACTCTTTGAGGAAAAGTTCAAAATTGACATAAAACCACATGAAGATGAAATCAACAGAATCAAACAAGCAAAAAACAATAAAATTGATCAAATTAAGAAATCGGAAAAATTCATCGATGCAAAAAGACAACACGATGAAGAAGAACAAGAAAAAGAAAAAGTTGGTCTTGAGAAGTTGACAGGAATGAAGATTGGAAGTGTTGTGTTTGATTCATACAAAGATGACTGGTCACTGAACAATTCAGTGTTCTATGAAAAAATTATGAACAAGAGCAACTTGTGCTTTTTGATCGAAGACACAAATCACAACAAGTTTGGTGGCGTGTACACTAGTAATATCAATGTTTTTGGCCAGTGGCTCAACAATGGCAGTTCTTACATCTTTTCACTTGTGAGAAATGGCGCTTTGAATCCAAAAAAGTTTGGGAAGACTGGAAATTACACTAGTGAATTTTATTTTTATTCTCAAAACCATAATTATCTCTTTGGATTTGGTGGTGGTCATGATATAAGTGTATACAAGAAAGGTGTAAATGGTAGTTATTGCAACCCATCCACTTACACCGCCAAGCAGAACGAGTTGACTGATAATAACAAATTCACACCAAAAAGTGTTGTTGTCTTCCAACTTAACTGACTTTTTTGTCACTTTTTATTTTAATTCAAACTTGCTACACATTGACTACTAAATTGTCATTTTTGTAAGTTGCCACGTCACCACAACTTGAATTAATGTACACAAGTTTTAACAAAATCTGTCCTTTTTGAAAAGCAGGACAGACAGAAAGAAAACGGGTTTTACCCTTCAAACCTAACACTGAAACGAACACTCGATTTGGACATCTTTGATGTTTCTTTTTTCAGGCATCTTCTCTTTGTGTCTAGTATCTTTTGGAGAAGGATTCACGACGCCGCAACTCGCCGGGTTCAACAAGTTTCGACATTTGCGGCATATCTGCTCTTTGTGTCCCGTTGTATCTTTCTGAAGTATATTAAATCAAAAGTAGTTGGTATTTTTATTTATTATGGGTTTTCTCAAACTACAAACTATAGTAAAAAATATTAAAATCATATTAAAGTTAATATTTTCATCTAAAAATAAATAGCACAAATTATAATATAATTAATTATAATTTGATAGTTTGGTAACACAATTTAATTTTTAAAGCAAAAAACTAAGAAAAGATCAATAGACAATTAAAATATTACAATTAACAATATATAGTAAATTGACTATTTTAAATAAATAAAAACATCAGTGATGTTGTTAAGATGAATCGCTACTTTTAAATGTATTTTTGCGTTCTACAGATAAAGTAAAAATGACTTTATCAATTTGTATCAATTTGTTATAAAAACTAAGGTTCCTAATTAAAAATAGAACATCACCAATCTTTTTTGTCATCAGAAATATCCATCACTCAATGAAAATTATTTGAAAATGCATTTTTGGAATTATTAAAGTCTACCCATAGATTCTAAGTAAGACTCCAAGTTAAAGTTTTTATTTCATAGGCTCGAGGCATCTAGTCGAAATTAAACTATAAAAAATAATAAAAATGTTATATTTTTAATAACTTGACTCTTGTATTTAAACTAGATTTTAATTTAAAAAACTATAAAACAATTTAATAATTATTTATTTTTATTCCGAATCGCTGTCGTCTTTTTGCATCTTTTTCAACCTGTTTTTAGTCTTCAAAAGTAATTGCACTCACCCGATCAACTTCAAGTTGTTTATTGTCAGATCTTCACTGGCCTTTATGACCTGATCTTCCAACTCGGCAATTCTGTTTCGCCATCTCTGACTGATTGTTGTGTCTTCTTCAAATCGGCTTGTGTCTTACCAATTTGAGTGTTGAATGTAGACTCCTTCTGTTCGAATTCTGCAAGCTTTCTCTCAGCCTCTTCAACCTTTCTGGCATTCTGTTTATGTTGTTTCTTAGCTTTAGTAGCCGTGTTTTGTGCTTCTTCCTTTCTGTTTCGATTCCTTCGAATTCTGTTTCTTATTTTGCTTTCAATTTAGCAATGGAAGCTCCAGTAGCACCAGCGTCCACCAATTTAGCTTCTGAATCAATGACTTTGGCTCCAAGTCTTTGAATTTCTTTGTCGACCTCTTGTTTCATAGCTCTCTCCTTCTCAAGTTCCTTCTGTAAATCAGCCTTTTGAGCAATTAACGAGTGAATCGACTTCTCGGCTTGTTCCTTATATTCACCAAATTCGTTTTCGTTCTCCATCACTTCTCTGAGTTTGTCTACATATTTCTTCTTCTGTGCTTTAGCCTGTTGATCAGTAGTTCTTTCAAGATCGAGTTGTTCATTCAACTCAGTCAATTTCTTCTCATAGGTGTTCTTCGACTGTTTATAAGTCTTCGCAGCTTGTTCAAGAGCCTCCAATTCAGTCTTCATTTCAGACAAGTCGTCTTCAAGTTTGTCGCATTCGTCTTGTTTTTCGTCGAGTTCGGTCTTTGTTCTCATCAATTCTTCAGAAACTGTTTTAATATTTCTCATAGTCTTGACCTTCTCTTGTTCAGCCATCTGGACGTTCTTCTCGATAGTTTCAGCTTTGACTGTGATTTTAGCGATATCTTTCTCGTACTTTTTTAATCAATTGGGTCTTGGTATGATCTTTCTTTTCTTGATGAAGTTCATTTCTAACGTTCTTCGTCTCGTCTTTGTATTTCTATTTCATCGCTTCATTGACATCTCTGTCATCATTTGCAGTGTCAAGTTGTCTCTGTGCCATGTCGACTTCAGCATTCAAGTCGTTGATCATCTTGTCCATTTCCTCTAAATCATTTTCATTCTTCTTCTTCTTCTTCTTCTCCTCTGTGAGTTGATGAACTTGGACGGTCAACTCATTGGTCTTTTTAATCAATTTTTTTTAGTGTTATTTGCTTCATCTAGGTTGAACTGGACTTCCAGCAATTTGCTCTCAGCAGCCTTTCGAGCAGCATCTGCACTATAGACCTTCTGTCTTTCTTCATCAAGTTGAGTTTGAATTCCAGCAATTCTTGCATTCAACATGTTCTTCTCTTCTTCTTGAACAACAGAAGCTGGTGCACTGATTTGGACTTTAAACGACGAGACTTGTGCATTGTGTGCTTTGACTTGGTCTTCCATCTTCTTTCTTCTATCAGATTGGTCCGCGGCAGTCTTCTCATCATCCGCTTTGTCGTCCAAAGCCATCTTCTTTTGTGCTTCATGTGCCTTAATCTGTGATTCATAATTCTCAATCTTTGTTGCGTTTGATAGACCACTTTTTCATATCCTTCTTAACAGCATCAAGTTGAGTGTTCTGATCTTTCAAAGCAGCAACTGCCTTTTCCAAATCAGCAATTTGGTTGTCTCTCTTGATGACCTCAGTTTGGTCAATATTTGAAGTCTCAACTGGTCTCTCTTCAAGGTCTTGTATTTGTTGTTCCAAATTGGCTATTTTCTTCTTGTCTTTAGCTGTTCTGTCTCTCAACTCAATCAACTCACTGTTATTTGCTTCTAAGTGTCTTTGTAACCTTTTGATTGAACCATTCAAGTTGTTGGTCTCATCTTCATGCCCAGAGACCAAGTTAATGAGTTGGTCATATTGGTCTTGAAGCTTCTTCTTTTCAGAAGAAAGTTGGTCTTTGTCATTCGCTAAGTTCTTCACCTCTTCTTTAATTTCATCGTTTTCTGCTTTCAACTTCTTTGCCTCTTTTTCTTTCACAAATTTGTCTTTCTTGACAATTTCATATTCTTCATTGGCTTCAGCAACTTCTTGTCCTCTTCTTGTAATAACATCAGAAAGTTCGTCGACTTTGGCACACAGTTCCTCAATCTTCTTATTGCTCTCATTGACAGTTTTATTGAGTTTCTTCTTATCAACAGCATCAGTGTCGGCATTATTCTTAAGATAGTCAAAGTTCTGTTGGAGTTGGTCGAGTTCGGCTTTAGTTCTTCCCAATTCGGTTTTAGTAATTCTCAACTTCTCATTTGCAGCTTCGACTTCTTCATTAAGAGCAGCTTTTTCTCTTTCAGCGTCTTTTAATTTGGCATCGACAACTCATTTGGCTTTAGTCAAATTGTCATTGTCGGTGGCCTGATATTTGATTCCGGACAATTGATTCCTTTGTGTTTTATTTGGACAATTGATTCTTGTGATTATTTGGTTATTAACAATGCTACAAATCGGGTTTTTATTTTTATATTAGTGTTTTTGATGGACATTTGATTCCCGAATAATAATATCAAAATGAAATAACGAATTGTTATTAAGTTAATTTTCATATAAATAATCGGGTTTGATTAACAATTTTGTTTTCTATGGACAATTAATTCCACGTGGATGATAATCATGTTATTTATTTAAAAAAATACAACTGATTTATAAAAATAAAATGATTACTTTTTTGGTTTGATTAATCTTTTTCTGTTTTTTCTCATAATTTCACGAACAACAACTGCTTGCTTGTATTGTTTTGATCGTTTTCTTGGTTTTTTATTTTCCTTTTCTTTTATGGCGGTTTGAGTTTTTAT